GTATTGGCCAATCGCTGCCGATCCAATGTTGCGTGTAAGTATCGTGAACTGCTGTTCTTCCTCAGGGATATGAACCTGCAGCTTTTAGTATGCAGGTTCAGATGCTTAAATCACATTGCTGCCCAGAGACATATTATCAAAAGATGGATTAAATCACTTATTGTCAGTAAGCCGCATTTGGCTTACAATAGTCATCGTTTTTCATTATTTACCGTCCTCCTCCCATTATCCTCTATTAATGCACCCAAAAAGCCTTCCTAGGCACCATAACGAAGCCGGGTCGTCGTGCAAACAGGGTCAGCAGTTATTTGCCCTTTGAAGGGGGGAGGGCTGTCAGTGTCACTGCACGTCTTTCGGATGGCAAGCCGCCACTCGCATTGTAGTAACCAGCAGTACAGCTGGAAGTGGGTATAAAGGTCAAAATGGATTTAACGTCTTGCTCGGCATATATCGTGAGTACAGAACCGATGCAGAAATAGCATACTGTAGCCTAGAAACATCTTATAACAAACCAAATAATCTTATTACATGTCAACGCAGAAGAACAGTTACGTCCATACTGCTGAGTGAAGCATTAACCCACAGGCACAACGACTTGGAATACGTTGAAGTGAGCATTAGAAGAGATGAAAAATCAAATGATTTGCTTGGGTGCTGTACAGTCACTTCTCTTTCATTGTTAAACCCATCAAAAGACCATTTTTATGCAATGCTAATTTAAACTGTGTTGATTATTTCTTTTCAACTATCAAATCAATGTGCAACCCCACAGTTACCCAGCCAATCACTTCACAGACTCATCATGTGGTCAGGAATTGGGCTGGGCTATATGGCAAAATGTTAAAACTTTACTTGAAGGGGCACAAGTAACTTGGTGAGTTGAAATACAATACCGTTATGATTGATTAATGAACGAAGATGGGATCAGAAGGTAACTAACATTTAGTTTCTGATTAATTCATTGCAAGACTATGCATTTGCTAGCCATAGATAAGAATCTACATACAGCAGAGTGAGGTGGACGTGATTTTTCTTGTTTCCACAAATTACCTTGTCCCCTACGAGGAATCCTTTTGGGTTACTGGCAAGGATTTTTTCAAAGTACTTAAGCTGGTCTGGGAGCTCTTTGATGTACCTGTCTTTGCCATTTTCCTTGGTAGAAGAACAGCCAAGCATCAATACAGTGACTTTCAGATGATGTCTAACAATTAACAAATGACCACATGTAATCAATTTATCTAGACCTCAGTACCTTGTTTCCACCAACACGGAGCCGGACTGGTTCTCACTTGGTGCCTTTTGAGAACCAACTTGCATTTCCACCAGTTTCAAAAAATAATGGAACAGTAATGTTATGTTTTTTTTTTTTTGAACAGTAATGTTACGTAGGCAGAAGTGAGAGTAAAGTTTGCAACTCAAGTTGCTCTTAAATTGACTTCTAACTTGCAACTCGTTATTTTTTGACTTGGACTCAACTCCAGCTCATTGATAGTGACTCGTGAACAATAAGAGCCTGGCTTTGTTGACATTTCTACACATATGAAGCACTGAGTGTACAGCTCTCTCCAAACCATAAAGGCGTTAAACACATCAGGATGTGCGGCTGTGCACAGAGCAGAGGTCCTAGAGCTGGAGAAACTTGATGTCAGGCGATATCAAAAAATAACAGTTTTTCTGTTTTGCCACTGGTACAAATTGTGGACTCGATCTGACAAAGCACAGGATATTCCGAATCTTATTCCTTATATGAATCTTATTTATTAACACTTAGAAAGAGACGTTGCTTAGCCTGTGTCGTAAATTATATATATAGTGTTTTTATACAGTGACACAGTTTGGCATAAATTGCCATAATGTGATAGTTTAGCAGATATGTCCGAAAGATAGCTTTTCGTTTCTGACATACCCTTCCAAGTTCAGCTATATTTTCTTCCAATTTGTCCCGCATTCAATACATAGTGTTATGTCAAATTATTCTGAGTTTTGTCACACATAATCGTTTATTAAATGACGAGCTGAGAGACAAATCAATTTTATTCATTAATTGGATATTTTTACTTTTGAGTGATGTGTAAAAATGAAAATTGCAATGTACTGTAAACTGGCATGGTTTGGTCTGGCTCCAGAGAAGGACCAATCTGACATGCTTTCAGCACAGCGATTTGTGCGTATGCATATGGTCGAGCTCAGGAACTGATGCGTAAATTCCCGGCAAGGCATGTCTTCATCATTATGTTATTTTTGAGAAAGTATTACTTTTAAAATCTACATTAGAAAACTACTTAGATTCTTAGAAAAATGTTATTGCTTCAAAGCCGTTTGAAATAGCGATTACTTTGAAAATGTATATAAGCCTAAGTAAATATGAAACATGCAGTTTTTTAAATTTTCAAGTGGTGATTTCCATTTAGTCATATCAGTTACTAATAGAAAGAAACAATTAGGCAGCTACATTTTTGATAAATAGTAAATGTCAAACTGGAACCACCACGGAGACTAGAGACTTGACTTGGAATTTTGTGACTCATAAACATCTCTGGTATTGATCCCTATGAATTCTGTTTTTTATTATTATTTATTTTAATCTGTTTCAGATTTAAATTTTTTATAAGCTGCCAACCCAAATAAATGAGTGTTTTAGAAGGCAAAAGTCTCATAGTTTTCAGAGTATGACTTGTTGCACTATAATGTAATAAGCACTGGCAAATTGTTTCAGTGTCGAAGATATTCGACAAAACTATTATTATATACTATTGTATATCGATGAAATTTTCTGGCCATGTGGAGGATTTGGACACCATGGCCAGTCCCACTTCTGCTGACGTTATGGTTCCAAATTCTGAGCCCAGCTATTCTGTGCTGCTATAGCCATTTTTTCTTGCCCAAGGCCAGTTTTTTGCTGTGGAAACTCACAGAACCAGTTCTGGATTGAGAAAAAGAATGGCACCGACTCCAGCACCACATTGGTGGAAACGGGGTAGAGGAGTATGGGTATGAGGATGTAAAACAAAGGTACCTGTTAGCGTTTAGTATTAATTAAACTTATTCTCTTAAGCCTTTGTTGAATGCATAGAATTGGATGTCACTTACATAGTCTTGGTAAATCAGGCGGATGTATTTAACTCGGAGGTCTTCAATGCTGTCATTCATCATGTCAATGAGGGCACATTCGGCATCGTCCTTCCCATAAGCCCCTGCACAACAAATGCTAGAAGATTCAAAATGCAACCGAAAACCTTAGCACATGAAAAACATATCAATAATCCCTCCAACCAACTGTACGAAGACTAATAATAAAACTGTTGTCTGACAGAGCAGTAAGACAGGAGACTAAGACGTTGCTACATTGTTCTGGAGATGAGCACATTAGCTGGTTATGAAGTAGCATCAGTTCACAGTAAGTACCATGTTTGCGGCCTAAGTATCTCAGTATGGAGTTGGACTGGAACAGGACCAAGCTGCCGTCTTCAAATTTCGGAAGCTGGCCAAATGTCTAACAGGAAAAAAAGTTCATTGCTTCAGTTATGCTGGAGTCATTTTCCATGCTGCATACAAGCACTGGTAAGTGTGGCCCTTGTCTAAAATTCAGTGAAGAACACTGCACTACACATTAATAAGATAAAGCATTTCATCTGTTCAGACATGGTAAGTCTTTCTGTGCCACAGGTTCACTCGGCATCCTGAGACTTACTAAGGTCTTTTTAATGTCACCCTTCATCCAGTCCTCATAGCTGACATTAATGTCCTTCCACTGTTGGCCATGGTCAGACATCAGCATCTTCATGGCACTGCAGCGGCCTGTAACAACACAAGGACAGACTGAGCCTGTATCACAAAGCCAGACTTCTCACTTAGCCAGATAACACGTAGGGTTGAAGGTACTCCAGCTTAAATGGACTTTATCTACTTTCACTTACATTTAGCTCCAACTACCTAAGACCCGACAAGTTTTCTTGCCAACCCACAAATCCAGCTTCGTGACAAGGGCCTCCTTTGGAAGTTTTTCGAAGTGCTACACCTGCATGATATTTGAAGTGAGTGCTATGGCAATCAAGCAAGGCGGCAAGGTCCAGAAGAGAACCCAGGCAGAAGGTCCAAGTGGATCAGCCTTTTTGTTTTTGTTACTCAATTTACGTTCCATTGAGCTTTCAGAGAATTAAATGGTCAATTCCATGCAAAGTTCTGTTTCACGTCAATGACACTGATGAAAAGCTATTTATTTCTAATATGCGAATTAATATGACAGCCCAAGAGTTAACATGAAGAGATGCTAACAATCATTGACAGTAAGCCTACCCGAGCTCGAGGCATTTCGTTTGCCAGTATGAACGTCACATCCATAACACTGGAATTACCAACTCTGTCAGGATGATGAATGACTAGGTACCCGGAAATACCTTTCTGGATGAAACAAAGGTGTTTTCAATTTATTTTAGGGCTTATCCTTAATGATGTGCATGGACAATTCAGAATGTTTACAATTTCATTTAATTTTTCCACGCCACGATGGTGCAGTGGTTAGCACCCTGCTGGGACCCGGGTTCAAGTCTCCCCCAATGTGTGTCACCTATCCCCTGTCACCATGCGTGTGTGTGTGTCTTATGAAGGGTTGGCACCTTGTTCTGGGTTGTTCCCTGCCTTCTACCCGTAGTCTCCAGCAAGGCCATAACTTTGGTTTGAACGTGGGGAGGGGGGGGTCGTTGAGGTCTCCACCCACTTAGGAGGAAACATGATTATTGGGGGATTGTACAGTATTAGCCGCCTTTGATTTATTAGGTGGGGTTACAGCCGTTTTTGAACATTTTGGTTTCCCCATAAATTGCACCAACCCAGGGCAGAGAGTAATGGAATTTAAGGCGCCTTTGCCCAGAAATTCAGACCGGTCTTTAAAAAAAATCTACGGCTGTAAGGGTGTTGATCGCTATAGAAACACGACCGTACGCGACAATACAGGTATGATTGGTAAGATTCGATCCTAGTTTTGAATTTAAATTTGACATATTTATTTTTACTAAGTGCAAATAGGCGTTTCTTATGTTTTGTTATTCAGACACGTCGACAGGCGCATTGCCTTTGTGTTTACACTTTTAATAATAAATATTTTCAATACAAAATCTATTTCTCCCACTGCACCGAATCTGCACCGAACCGTGAACCCAGAGGCTTACCCCAAACCGTGAATTCACCCCTAGTTTATTTACGCCTGTAGATGAATCGTCAGGGGGTACATACCTCGAACAGGAAAGTAAGTGATCGTGTACGGAGGCACTGCAAAAGATATGACAATGAGAGATTAATCTGTGCCCAGCAAATTTGCTGTCTGAGCTAGTTTTACCTGTGGGATTACCAAGAATAATGAAGGCACCAAAATCAGATGTTCATCGGCAGGTAAGGAACAAGAAATAACAGGCAAAGGGGCAGTTTGTGCGAGAGACAGAGCAATTCTGAAGGATACAGTGTCGTACGCTTTCTGTAAAAATATACGACACATCAGTAGTTTACTTTATAAGTAAAAATTAAAAGTTTTATGTACAACTTATAAGGAATTCCTTAACGACGCACGCACTGCATGAACATGCTTTTAAAACTGCATGCTCTGACGGTATATGCCTATATGCATTTCATAACGTTTTGTAGATATAAACCATAGTTGTGTGCAAGGTTTGTTCTGATAGCATGTGAGCTAATATATGAAAACTTGCCGGGAGTCTTTCAAGTCTGCAGACTCCTTGATTAGTGTTTATTTTACAAACAACAATTATTACATACTTCGATTTATTACAGTTTCTTGCACTCAAGTCTTAAACTTCCACAAAGGCGCCTGAAACAAGCATATATTCTGGTGACAAAGATCAAACTAAAACACCACTATGAAGAATACGGAGGTGGAGCCATATTTTACAACTATTTCATATAGCACCATACATTTAAAAGATTAAAGGCTATGCAAAATGCTGAATAAAATGCAAGAAGACAGAAAAGGTTCACGGATGTTACGGACGACGATGGCGGATTTTTCTTACTGATAGGGGTCGCCGGTTGTATGAAGGTGTAGCGTGTATATGGTTTGATTCTGCTCAAATGCGAGAACTGTAATGTGTATGTCAGGCTCGCATTTTATACACGCCTCTTTCTACGTTTACTGCTGAATCACGCTGACTATTTATATTGCTTTGTGTCTTTATGTGGCCGCTGATCCTGGTGGGAAACAGTTCCCTTAAAGTTAGGCGCGGCAGCGGGGCAATGAATGAAAGGCTTGCGTTACGCTCGCCGAAGGGCCGGGATAAAAAAGCAGCCTCCTTCGCAAGAATGTACACTTTCATTGTCACCGTGACTTCGCAGATCGTATGTAAAAGTGCATATTCTCACCAGGGGCAACGAAAAAATCTTATTGATCAGAGGTGGACTTTACCATTAGGCAAGCTAAGGCAACCGCCTGTTGCCCACGAAAACTAGGGGCCCTATGAAGATTACATTTATTTAATAATATAATATAATAATCGAAGTGTATATATATATATATATATAGCGCAACATATCTGTTACTGGCATTTTTAGCGACAGTTCTCTGCATAGTCGACGTTGCCCCCCCGACCCGGCTGTAATGCACTTTTCTATATTGAGATTTCTTTCTTTTCTCTTAACACTGGAGTTTACCGGTTATTTCACTGCCGAGCGATCTGGCGTCAAGTCTCCCGTGTATCGGATATACTATCCCGCTAGAATGGTAGACAGATTGTGAACAAACGTGTTACATCATTTTTAATTCTCTCTCCTTTCTCTATCGTATCTAAAATGTGCTCAAATGCCCCCCCCCCCCCCCCCCCCCCCCCCCCATGTCAGCCTAGGGCCCCTAGAGAAGTTAGTCCGCCCCTGCTAATGATCATCATAATCATATGGATGAATTATTTTAATTCGCTGGTAAACAATTAAACCATTATACAAGATATCCATAATTGCTCGGAATAATAAAACGAACTATTTGCACCCGGGTGCGAATATCTGTCCAGATATTTACAGACAGTGTGTGCTCAGTCCCCGCACCTGGCTCCACAAAACTGCCAAGAAACCGCTGCTTGCATGGTGTGCTATTGACACCTGGGTGCAAATAGCATCTGTTTGCTATATTCACTACATTCGCTGTTGTATGCATTGTGTGCGAGACTCATCGCCAGCGAGAGGTACGATCAAGCAGAAGGAGGGCGCCTTTGCCCCCCCAGAGTGAATGCATGTGAAGTGTGGGGCGGTTATTTGCCGTGTATACTCTTATTTATTCTGTGCCCATGTGATATGCTGGGCCAGTCCCTCCTCCACACCGGCTATAATCGCCTAACTAATCTGATGAATTAATAAAATATGTGGCGTTGGATGGCACACAGGACGACGCCCTTTAATCGTAACTCGGGCCAACATTACAAGTTTACGTTTTCTGCGTGTGAGTTCGCCCCCCAGCACTTGTGATACAGTTCGCTGCGAAAGTGGTTAACTGTCTTTAATTACGGGTGTTTGCTGGATGCTGGGGTTTACTGGGATAGATTTAAGTACTATCTGACTTGGGTCAGCTACTTCGGGAAGTTTCTTACAGTGATATTCATTATATGCATGGATGTATGTATGTTGTCTGTATTATACCTATGCAAATTTCAGCAGTTTGCCGAACCGCAGCATTACATACTATGCGTTTACTCTGTATTGTGCATTTTGTGTCTTGTATTTGTTCTGTTTGTAATTATTATTTGTCCGTTTGTCGTGTCCCTAACAATATCCAGCTGTGTCAACAAAAATTTCCCCACCGGCCATAATCGCATGACAATAAAGATTCTGATTCTGAACGACAGCCCTGAACAGGGATCAAAATCAAAATATTTTGTTCAGTGGCAATTTATTTTATTTTTTGGCATACAAACTAAAGATTGTCAAAGAATAAGTGTAGAATTGAACAAGGGCACAGGATATTTCTGTATAAGTGAATGTCAGTGTATGTAATTTACTTTATGCTAAGATAAATTTATGGGGCGGGGGGTTACTGCGTACTGTTAAATAAAGATTGTCTCATTTTGAGCTGAAGAAAAACAACGGGCTCGTCCGGGATTTGAACCCGGGACCTCTCGCACCCAAAGCGAGAATCATACCCCTAGACCAACGAGCCGCACGCTTGATTGTCTAATGTCTTACAATAGTATTTGTGTATAACCAATAAAAAGAATGTATTCATGAATCTAAGTTATTTTTTTCCTACTTTTGTTCAAGCGGAATTGGGTCTGTGACCTAAAAATAGGGAAACACCGTTTTGTTAACTGCTTTTGTAGACTGATTTTTTTAAAAAAACGTTTATGTATACCATTGTCACAGTTTCAAACTCTATTAAGGAAGTAAATGATGATCCTAAAATACCATCCGTTTTATTGTATAATAAATTCTATGCTATTTTCCGTCATAAGATACCTATTCAATTGTCTAAGTGTGCTTTTCCGAGGCTGGTATATTCGCTAGGGGATGTAGCTCAGTGGTAGAGCGCATGCTTTGCATGTATGAGGCCCCGGGTTCAATCCCCGGCATCTCCATTTTGTCTCAATTATATCGAGGCCTGATTATTTGATCAGCTGTGAAACTAAGAAATAGTTAATTAGTAAAGATGGTTAAAATGTCGTTTACCAAATTAAATATGATTATTTTGAAAATCACGATATGTGTCATCTACTTAAGTATTCTCATTATCTGTAATTACATCAATCAACCCATCAAACAACTCTGATTTCCCCAACATAAAATGTTAGCCTGTACGGAAAGGAACAGGCAATTTTTTATTCGAAAACCTTTGACCAAAGCGATACTGTTCTTTTCACTGTTAAAAGTAAAATATGCTACCACTTGGGGGCAGCAAAATACAAAATATAGTTTTAAAACGTTTTCTTTAAACGAAGCCTATTTTTAACAAGGTGATTTCGTGTAATGTGTATTTAACCATCACTCTTTATAATCTTTTAAAATAATTAAATGTTTAAAAGCATGTCTGGCCATTTCCATTCATAAAACTGGAACTATTTGTAAAATGTTCTTCATCTGCTAAAAAAGAAATGGGAAATTAGCTGTTTTGGACAAACTCAGGTGGCCGGAACCCTCATTTACCTGTAGCTGTTTGGGACAAACTAATGTAGCAAGGACCCTCATTTACCTTTAGCTTTTTGGGACAAACTAAGGTGGCCGGGACCCTCATTTACCTGTAGCTGTTTGGGACAAACTAAGGTGGCCGGGACCCTCATTTACCTGTAGCTGTTTGGGACAAACTCATGTAGCCAGGACCCTCATTTACCTTTAGCTGTTTGGAACAAACTAAGGTGGCCGGGACCCTCATTTACCTTTAGCTGTTTTGGACAAACTCAGGTAGCCAGGACCCTCATTTACACATTTTTCTTCTCTGTTAAAGCTAAAATGGTATCTCTTATTTATTTTTGTTCGTTTAAATTGTTTTTTTTTTTGCATTATGTATGCATGAAAGTATAGGATATTTTGTTATAGTTTATTTTCAAATGTAATTCTCACTTTCAAATATCTAGAAGTAATTCAAGATGTAACTGTATATAATATTGAAAAATCGGTGGATTCATTGTCAGTAAAAACTTCCTCTCAATATGATATATTGTTTATTGTCTGCAATGGGTTGGTGCCCCGTCCTGAGATTTCCCTGCCTTCTGCCCATAACCTCCGGGATTGGCTCCGGACCCCATGACCCTGCATAGGACATGTGGTCACAGAGGATGGATGGATGGATGTTTATTGCACATGTAGCTATGATGGCAGAAATGTCATCACAAGGTCCGGAAGTGTGCTAGTCCAAGATATAATATGTGCCTTGTCTCCTGATTTAGGTCTAGGCCTGCACCCATGGCTTTTGGCATAGACGCCTGACCCACACGGCCCTGGACAGTGCAAGTGGGTATGGAAAACGAATAGATGGATGGTGTGAGTGACCAAAGGAATGTGCAAAAAGCACTCCACAGTAACACTGTAGGAAACAAACCAATTATGTTGCACATTTTTTCGGGCCCCTGTTATTCAGGGGCCATTGGAATCTTTGTGGTAATCTCCCTTTATGGCCCCCTCCTGCCCAGAGACACTGGTGTCCTTTGGCATGCCGTCAGCACACTGCATGAACACACAAGACGTGTGTGTTTGCTCTCCAAGCCTTGAGCAGCTCCGCACCTTCTTGGCCCAACATGGAGTTCTTGCTGGATCCTCTTCCTGCATTTCATGGCTGTGTGTTTTTCCCATGTGCAACACTGACATTTACAGACTCCAACCAGCTTCAGGTTTCATCCAGCAGAATTCACACCGTGTTAGAACTGACAGAAGCTATATGTTTTATTTATGTACAACAAAAAAATTATGACATAAATAAACAGATTCTAGAAATGCCACTCGATTATTGTGCTTTAATTGGATTACCCAATACATATGTATTTTGCCTATGTGCATTTACAAAACAGAAACAAACATATTTACATATTTTCCTTTTTTGCATTTTATTGAGATTAAAATACGATACATCATTGTTAGCTAAAAATCTCAAATGAAACAAATGTCCTGCCAGTTGATTGGTACTCATGGCAGAATCATGAAGATTCTCCTAAAATTCAGTCAGACCCTTTGAACCGCAACCAGTGACCATTTTGCCTTTAAACTCGTATTCAGCTCATAAACAACAGCTGTTACTTTTAGTATAGCTTGAAAAAAACCCTCTTTTGAATAAGGGTCATTTTCCAAAGCAAAACAAACACCATCCACATAATTAAGTAACCGTATTAAATCCTCGCCACATCACTCACTTGTTTTTCTATTATTTATAAACTTAAACCTTTCAGATATTTTCAGTAACTGCAATTTTAGAGCACAAATTCATGTACAGAGATTCCTATATATTATATATAATACAAAACTATACTTTTGCACATTTCTTGACTGTTAACCTGTTCAGTAGCATTTCCATATTTAACCTGCATAGATTATTTCAATAGAAAAGTTTAGCAGTTTTGCTACAGTGAACTGCATCTTTGTGTTTGTGTGTGTAGGGGGGGATTCTTCAGTTCAACAAGATTAAAACCTTATTTTAAGCAAAGATTATAGGAGAAAAAGAGTACTACACTTTACAGTAATCAGCTATGGAATTAAGCTCATTAATAAAACAAAACCATCCAAAAATAAAACAAAACATTGTAGGAAGTCCTATTTTTTTAACACAGCACAAGTTTAACAACAGTTTCAAATATAGGCCTAAGTTAACTCAGGGATTCTCAGCTCTACTTCCTGTAGGTCACAGTCAGACTGTTGGCTCTCAATGAACCAGTTTTGTTAGGATAAATAATTGTTTCACTCTGAATAAGAAGAAGAATAACCATTTAACAAATACAATCACTTAGGTTACTTTTTGAAAGCTTCTTTATACTGCGAGACACAGGTGTGGTATTCATTTATACATTTCTTGTTCAGTAGTGATGATTCATATAAATTATAAACGAAACAGAAAATAAATTACAAGACAAAAATCACAATGCATTTTTATAGGAAATTCTAAAATATTTGCATTGCTTATAAAATGCAACATAATAAACTATATCGCTTGAAAAAGGGCTTAAGTTCATGAAGCATTTTACAAATAAATAAAAATAAATAAGTAGATATGTAAATGGCTTGCTAATCATCCCGTTAGATCAAAAATCGAACAGTTGATAGTCTATTTTAAATCGTGACTTACAATGTCTTATTGCCATAATTTGTGCTGTTTAATCAAGTCCATGCGTGAAACGTGCACGCTGCACGCTCTATTATACTGAGTGCTTAAGAAAGTTGAACGCTTTCCTACTGCGTGATTGTTCTTTGAGATGTTGTGTGCTGCCTTCCCTCCATCTTTTTTCTCTATTGCACAGCTCTAAAACCACACCTGGGTAGGAATTAATCTCCCGCACATAAAAATAGTAAGTACGAAAATTATCGGGTGGGATTAAATGGCCTTAAATTCTGTTAGCGAGGACTTATAACGTAGCAGCTTGTGACTGGACTGCAGAAAGCGAGCGGTCTTCTTTGATGAAGCAGGCAGGAGAGGCGCGATAAGGTGACTGCATGGATTCTCGCCGCTTTGGTAAAACTGGGGGGTCCTGCGATGCAAGCCTGGGTGCGCGCAGTCCCTCACTCGCAGCGCGTGGCGTTCAGGCTCAGCTTGTCGCCCAGCTTTTGTATGAGCAGCGACAGCTCCTCCGTAGCTTGGGACTTCTCCTCCAGCAGCTCGTAGCGCAGGCTGGAGATGTCCTGCTTGATCTCCTTCAGCTCGCCTACGGAGGGGACAAAGTGTGATGCCAGGTGGTCTATTCCATACTAATAGATCTATATGTTCTTTATGAACTGTTAAAAACGTATCGTTGGCTGGACTATAAAGTCACCACATTGTCATTGCCTATGTAGTGTGTGTTGGACTGAACTGAAAGTTAACCTGTCACTGTTACAGCTGTTAGATACTACAGTAATGCTCATATAAAAGAGGCGAACAACATTCTGTCATCAGCTTCGGTAATAAAGGCCAACCCGCCATTGGCTATTTGGATAACACACGGTATGTCATTGGCTGAAGTACCCAACATGCCTTGCATAAACCTGTTATACATTAATTATTCATTAACGTGCCATTGGCTGAACCGTTAAGTAATCAACACGCCATTCGGCCAAACTGTTCTGCATTAATTATGCATTAATATGCTATTGACTGAGCTGTGAAGCATATGTGTGTCATTTGTCAAGTTATTAAGAGGCAGGAAAGTATCTGGAAAACACGTGCATAACATCCTACCTTCATTTACTTCGTCGTTCTCTTTATCAACTTGAGCTTTCAGCACGTAACGTTTGATGAGTCTCTTCATTATTTGCTGTGAAGCATATGGGGGTGGATTAGACGTGAAATGGAATGAATCTGTAGCAGAAGGGACAGGAGGTCGGTGCTGTTACTGTACCTGATGCCGTGTGGGCTGGTTCAGGATGCTGTTGAAGCTGTGCGACTCCGTGATTCGCATGTTCGACTGGCTGCACAGATTGAGCTGTGTACCGGGACACAATGCGTTAAACCATACTGATCCATTTGGGTAGCGTCTCTCTATGAAAATGTACACACATGTTTAAGAAAAAAAGTAACTGCTCTCAAAACCCGTTATTCGTGAAAAGATATTTAGATATACGAAAACATATTATACTGGGACTGGCTGAAAATTTCCAGTTTTGTTGTTTTTCACTGTTTCGGCTTTTATATTGTTTAAAAATCAGGTTCCATCATGTGAATGGGCATCTTTCCTAATCGCTGTAATACATTTTCTTGTGCTGAAAGCAATATGGTGAAAACCTCTTCACTACTAAGGCCTGTGCTGTGGGTAAAATATGCTGGAATCCCTCCAGTGAGTAAACACCGGGACGACCTGTGGGATTATTTGCGGACATGGTGGCTTTCTGTCCAGCCCAGCCGCCCAGGCGGAACGCTGCAGAATTCTGCGCCGCGGCTACAGACCCTCAATCACAATTTATAAATGACACGGTCCAGGCTTGGGCCGTAATTCGGACTGTACCGGCAGCTGATATAGGCGGAAAGCCTTCGCTGGCAATTACGAATGCCGCCGGCTCGCTCAGTTTATTTTGATTGCACGGCAGCCAATCAGCCTATCATCAGCATCTCTCGGAACGGATTGGTCGGGTCGCCTTCCCAGCCTAGCCCTGCTAAAATGGCTGCCCATACCCTGGACTTGGAGTCGACCCCCAGCTCAATGTCTTTCTTGAGCCTCCGCCGGCGGCACCTAAACAAGCCCACGAGCCTCTTGATGCAGTGGAAGAAGGATTTGGGGCTGGGCACGATGCTGTAGGGCGGGGGGAGTGTCTTCCCATTGTCGAAGTAGGACAGCCACAGCTTGGAGCGCGCAAACTTCCACTCCACGTCTGCGTCGTCCTGCGGGGGGGTGGGGGAGGCGGGACAGCCCTCTAACTCCTGCGTTCCCAGTCTCAGTTTCAAGGCAGGTAGGAAAATTGCTTTATAACCTTTATGCATATTTACAGTCTATAATTGGTAGGGTGGCCAGGAGGTGGCGTTGCGGTTAATCTAAATTACCTAATTTTCGAACTAAATTTAGTCATTTTAACTTCCCCTCCAGGCTGGTCCCTGGCCTTATGTCCACTACGTCCTGACATAGGTTCCAGGTCCCCAATCCCTCGCCCTGATCGTGACAATCATGATTATCTGCTTTGCATTTTCTGCATTGTATTATATACAGTATATAAGCATGTAATTTAAGTAAATGACCAAATACTCCATTACCTGAGGTGATTATCTTACTGTAATTTTTTAAATAAAATTCGATAGTATCATTAAATATTTCATAGCATCAATATTCCATTTGTGGTCATGTTAAATGTTTCAAAATTGCAATGTAAAAATCGTAAATCTGATTCTCCCTTTCCAGCAAAAGCCTGGGATCTTACCTCGATCTCCTGGTATGAGCTGTTGATCATGGCGATGAGCATGTTCAGGAGCACCACGACCATGGTGACGTTATAGATCCCATACAGCACGTAGCCAATGTTCTCGATGAACTTGTGGTCATATTTCAGCACCACCGAGGACACCTCCGACAGGCCAAATATAGACCAGAAGAGCGTCTTGAAACTCTCCTCAACCCTTACACACATCGAGAGAAAAAATGAAAGGGCACTTACCTCTCAAATCAAACAGTGTTAATTTAGATGCCTGGTTAACATATAACACTCAGTGGATGCAAACCAAGGCCATTGTCATTAAATTAGTGGAATCCTCTAAAACAGGTTGCTTTTCGCACCCTCAAGGAAAAAAAAAATTCTACTTAGCTATAACAAAAAGAAAAAGTGACAATTGTTTTTCTTGCGACTATAAAGACTAAAATGACCCTGAAATACATACATAAAATTGCAAAAACAGGCAGGTCTTCACCCCCAGAGGCTCCATGTACAGTTAGTAAATTTCCATTTAGATAGATGTTTACTCTTTTATTTGCTTTGATATCACGTAACTACAGTACTTTATCTCAATGGCTATGTACAGGTTAGTATTCCGGGGCGTCTATGCTCTGTGAAGTTTCATTTCACAGTGCACTGGAATCCTCTTCTGTGCAGATTTATGTCTGGCCTGGGAGAGACTCAGCCCTAAGAACCTGAACTGGGTGGTGTTCATTCCTTCAGCCATCCCTCACAGACAGCTACAATCAGCTGCAATATTCATCATCTAGTCTTTTTCATTTAGCTTTATCAGAAGTGGAAAGTTCAGGTCCAGAAAGTACAAACCCAGACCAAGGGTTTGTTTGAGCCAACCGGTTGATATTCTCTGTGTCCGTAACTCTTTATGTTCAACTGGTTGGTTGAAACAAAACCCTGGTCTGGATTTTTACTTTCTGGACCTAAACTTTCCACCTCCAAGCTTTAACCTTACAGCCAGCCTCTGGGGGTGGAGTTAACTGAAGATGTGGAGGGGAGGCTTGACATGAAAATTTTTTTACTGATAGCCAGAGCAATTAGCAAAACCATATGCATTGAGAAGACTTTGAATGATGATCTCTGTTCTGCAACCCAATGGGTATTGATTAAAAAGAAAACGTACAGTGCAGCCAGCCAATAGGAATGCACTCACGTGGTAAAGGCGGGGTTGACTTTGGCGCCTAGATAGTAAGAGTAGAGGATGAACATGCCGATCATGAAGGCCAAGAAGACCATGATGAAGAGGACCATGAACTTGAAGATGTCCTTGACGGTGCGTCCCAAAGAGATCTGTAACGGGCCGAAGCTCTCGTTGGCAGGCAGGATGTAGGCGATACGGGAGAAGCTCAAGACCACGGCGATGGCGTACAGTCCTTCCGAGATCAGCTGGGGGTCAGAGGGCAGCCATTTGTCCCGGGCTGAAGAAACCAGAATGAGTTTATACTGGTTTGTGTGTCATTAATACCAGTGTCATACAACAGGACCAGAATGGGTATACAGTGGTTTGTGTGTTATTTTGGTTTCACAAAACATGACCAGAATGAGTTTATCCTTCTGAGGTCCATGGCTACAGTAGCACTGGGAACTGGCTCAGTGAGCAGTGCAATTGAAGCGTAACTTCCAAAAGCCACTCAGTCCATTGTTTGTGGTTTTTGGGATTTGACCGCCAATGATCTAAAGCAGTAGTTCTAAAATCTGTTCTTGCCCCCCCCCCCAAAATGTTATTATTCCAACCCATACTGCTTTCATACCGCCATGTTCATGATTAGCCTACTAAGGACCATATAAGCCTGATTAAGGTAGGGTTGGAATAAAAACATTCTGGCAGGAGGGACACCAGGAACATGATTGAGAACCACTGATCTAAAGTCAGACTTCCTCATCATATGTTAAAGCATAGTCACTCCTCATGTAATTCAATGAAATTTACTCGCTACAGTGCACAGAATTATTCTCAAAAATGTATCCCATGGACAGAGTGAGATTTGGAAACTTGCTTCTTAATTATGGTCAATCACGGGTGTTACACACTGAGGTATACTGAAGAATGTAAATGCTGCGATCCATCAGGATCACACCTGCAACCTTCTCCGAAGTTCAGTCAAACTGTCAAGTTATTTTGGTTGACAGCCAGCAGGTAAGGGGACTCACCGTAAGTGAAGTATTCGATGTCAGGTGGCAGTGTGACCAGGGAGAGGTCCGTAACGTGGATCTTCTCATCCACGTACTGCTGCGCTTTGGTAGCCTCGAGGAAGGCGAAGAAGCGGGCCGTGAAGGCGGCGATGAAGATGGAGAGCATGCCGAAGTCCAGAACATTCCACAGCTGAAGGATGTACTCACGGGGACCCTCGCTCCAGAGCTCCTTACACTCCGACCACATCATCCCTGCAGAAGGGGCAGGAGGTTCAGCCTCTGCAGCCGTTTTCAACGCGCAGCATAATGCCAAGTCAGCAATGGTCACGATGTACTACTGAACACGGAACTGTGCATAAGTGTTTGGCTGTCAAAGCTATTTATCTGAGGAGTACGTGTATGTGCTTAGAACAAAAAATATACAATTTAACATTTTAACATATGAAAATTACCAGCACCATAGTAAAACTTTACAATAATTTCTTCTGGTCTCCAAAAAGTGACTGATATCTATGTAGTTGGACGGCTAGATGAAGACCGGATCCCAAACCTCTCTTCAGGGGCACCCCAGCCATTCTATGTATTAATTAAATGTAGAGGTAGTGGTCAAGTCAAAAAATACATGGGTGTATTGGACGGTTGCTGTAAATACTGGGGTGGTTTTAGCTGAGGTTCTGAAATGGCTAAGCTGACACACTTTGACAGACATAATATCATAGTTTAACACCAACATGAAGATCATTTAAACATCATTTTCTTTGACTGCCGAAAGCCTTTTGCATATACTGTACATTTGGGAATTTTTTTTCCTATAAAAGCATCATGTGTATTAGCAGTTTTATATAGTCTTACATACTATAATTATATATTGGGTATACCCCGCCCAAAAAAAAAAAAAAAAACACACACACAAACACACACACATACAGTAAATATTAACACCAAGATTTCAAAATACCAGAATAGCACAGCTTTTGAAAAGTACTGTCGAAATGCTATAGGCCACGGTTTGATGTCTGGTAGTATGACGGAATGAAAAATTTGATACCGTCCAAGCCTAGTGAGAAGTTTCTTTTACTTTTAGATGCACTTTATCTGTTGGTTATCTCTTGACTGGACATCTTGTAAATTGTTGTAGTTGGCTTGCTATCCTGGTAATATCAATCTGCTCAGGAAGTACATTCCTTTAGCATTTAGCTATATGCTTCGCCCCTACAAATAGGCAGACCGAATGCTGCTTCCAATCTGTGCGTGTGAAGTATTCAGGTTTCGTTGTTTGGGAAATGTGAGCCTGACTGTGCACAGCTGTGGCGCCAAATTAAATCAAGGGCTTGACATGCAGATACAGGTGATATATAACAGTCGCTTTCAGGGCTTGGGAGGTTCTATGGTAGGAAAGGCTCCCAGCCAAAATATACAGTCTATTGGACTCCGACATTGTGGTGTCTATTTTATGCTTTGAATTCTTGCAGCTCATTTTTTGGAGGCTACAGCTTACATTGTATTGATTTTTTTGTATCCTCATGGCCCATTTGCAGCCTTTCTTAAGAGCCGACATCTGTATTGTATCAAGCTGTCACCTGATTGACATGTCTATGGCTAACATCAAAAGACATTGCATTGTCTCTCCTCTGCACTATGTCAGGATCAGATCTCACGTCCCTCTGGTACCTGTGAAAGAGATCACTGATCTTCTTTCAGAAGGAAACCACGTCACTCTTAAAATGGGCCAATATGGTAGTTTCATCTGAGGATGACATGGCTGGTAAGCTTCTTCTATGTCAGGCCAGATCTGATTGTGTTTGAAATTTGGTCCTTGTGTTTCTACACCTACTTGACATGTATAAACACATCTGGCAATGGTATGACCCGGGAAAAAATTTAATTGGCACCAGGTATAACTGGGACGTAAGAGGCACTCTGGGAATCATTCATATATTCTTGTTAATATTATATATAACAGGGCTTCATAAAACTTAAATCAAATTTAATGACCATTTAGCCATGTAAAGAGGACCATCATCTAATCCTTACGCTTTGTAATGGTCTTAAAAAATAATATGTTGCTGTGAGATAAGCTGCCAGAAAGTGGATTATGTAGCCAAGGCTTTTCTCACTATGACACGTGAGATGTACATCTGGGGGTCTCACAGTCATTTTTCAAAGCTCCTTGACATTAAGGGAGACCAATCTTGCTCAGTCCTGTGAGCTGTCAATGGCAGGTCTGCTCATATCACCCACCAGACGAGCTTTGCAGAGTACATGTCAGAGTACAAGGACTCCCGTTAGCCAAATCATGCTAACTTAACCACTCAGAACTCCGGCTGCTATTCACTTACATCGAACAGGATTAAACCCTAAAGAGCAGGACCTCGGGAAACAACTGTTCACCGCAGCAAACTGACAGCAGAGGGGCATGCAGCTCTCCGCATGATCAAAGTCTCTCCGCATGATCAAAGTCTCCCCGGATGACTTCTGCCTGTGGGTTTTAGGGCCGCAAAGTAGGACAAGCAACCGGGGAGACGTGAGTTTTGCTTTCATAGGAAATGATGACCCTTTCCCCCTCCATATTCTGGCCATTCTACAATTCAGTTCGTAACTTTCCATTTTCATTTCCATGCTGGTAATAATGTGGGGACTCAGACGGCCGGAGTCCTTTTATGTGTCCGCTATGTTGGCAGCTTGGCTCATTTTCATTAGAGTACCTGCTGGGAAAGCCACTAAAGCTGAATTTGTTGGTAATGGCTGTACTTCCTTTTCATTATGATAAATCCCTATTTTTGTTATTAGGACAGAGGGGTATAATGCCTCAGGAATCAATTACAGGAAGCTTATCTGTTTATATTTTTTGAGCGATGTTCAGTCTCCCTTTCCTGAGATTTCAGATCTTGTTGATGAAAGCTCTAAATTGAATTTACTCTGTTTTATTTTGCTTTTTAAAAATTCCATCTTGTGCTTGGCACAATACTGTAGAATGTTGTTTCAACTGAAATGCATTTGGATGCAGCGAGGCCTTTACCAGCCCTTTCTTAAATACAGAAGGAACTCATTCAAGCAGAGCACACACAAACAGACTATACAGCAGTGCCTTTCGTTCAAGCAGAGCACACACAATCAGACTCTACAGCAGTGCCTTTCGTTCAAGCAGAGTACACACAAACAGACTCTACAGCAGTGCCTTTCATTCAAGCAGAGCACACACAAACAGACTCTATAGCAGTGCCTTTCGTTCAAGCAGAGCACACACAAACAGACTATACAGCAGTGCCTTTCGTTCAAGCAGAGCACACACAAACAGACTCTACAGCAGTGCCTTTCGTTCAAGCAGAGCACACACAAACAGACTATACAGCAGTGCCTTTCGTTCAAGCAGAGTACACACGAACAGACTCTACAGCAGTGCCTTTCGTTCAAGCAGAGCACACACAATCAGACTCTACAGCAGTGCCTTTCGTTCAAGCAGAGCACACACAAACAGACTATACAGCAGTGCCTTTCGTTCAAGCAGAGCACACACAAACAGACTATACAGCAGTGCCTTTCGTTCAAGAAGAGCACACACAAACAGACTCTACAGCAGTGCCTTTCGTTCAAGAAGAGCACACACAATCAGACTCTACAGCAGTGCCTTTCGTTCAAGAAGAGCACACACAAACACTACAGCAGTGCCTTTCGTTCAAGAAGAGCACACACAAACAGACTCTACAGCAATGCCTTTCGTTCAAGCAGAGCACACACAAACACTACAGCAGTGCCTTTCGTTCAAGCAGAGCACACACAAACACTACAGCAGTGCCTTTCATTCAAGCAGAGCACACACAATCAGACTCTACAGCAGTGCCTTTCATTCAAGCAGAGCACACACAAACAGACGCTACAGCAGTGCCTTTCATTCAAGCAGAGCACACACAAACAGACGCTACAGCAATGCCTTTCGTTCAAGAAGAGCACACACAATCAGACTCTACAGCAGTGCCTTTCATCTTTGAGTTAAGAGGACAAATATAAACTGGGAAGGCTTTTATGGTGAAGGTGGACGATGCATTTCTCCCTATTTCAGCTGGACTTTCACATATTTGACCCCAGCATAATTCTCTGAAGTCCATGAAGACTTTGGACCCCCAGAGTGATGTGGAAATCTATGTACCTTCATCACAGAATTCCTTAGCAGTACATCGTCTTCATTTCTGCAAGCAGAAATTCTCATGGCTCGACAACACCAATGCAATTTCTTGACCAAACTCTAGAGCCTATCCCCTCTAAATCTAAGACCTAGTAACGCTGAGGCAGTTACAGATCTTATACTCAAATGTCCCACATTGATATAACACTTGATTGGATCCTACACTGACCAAGAGAACGGTACCCTTCCTGACATCACAGCTACAAAGATAAAGAATCCCTAATCTTAAAATTCAACACCGTGATGACAAATATATCATACCCACAGCAATTTTTTTGAGAGTAATATGATATTACACACTGAAAAAAGTATTAAATAATTAATATATGTCATCACTGTTTCAAAGTAATGGGTAAATGGAGAAGATGGATAGATGAGAACATGGACAAATTTGAACACTTAAGAAGCTCTTCATACACTTGAGATATAAAAACTGCTGCTTTGAAGTATGGAAGGTTTTGAAAACCTTTTGGACAATAAATAAGAAAATAAATGTAGATTCCTAAGGTCCTAGAAATGTGTGTGATTAAGGACCTCAATAAAAATCAAACAAGGAATCAAGCAGTACTTCCACGAGACCAAGTGTTCCAGCAGCCACCACCAGGCCTCTCGTGAAGATACATCACCTGTGACCCACACCATGATGAGAATCTCTGTCCAGGTGAAGCGAGTGGTCTTCACCCTGAAGATCTGTGTGGGGTAGTCAGTGACGGTGACGTTGGGCAGGGTGGTGATGCCCTCGAATCGGTCCGAGGCATTGAAGACGAGCAGGCACAGAAAGATGATGAATGAAGCAGCATGCGCTACAAACTTCATGAAGGGGCTGCGGAGGACTTTTCCCAGCTTAGGGGGGGGGGGGACAAAAAGTTGAAGATTAAAGAGGTATCACTGCAGTAGAATCTAGAGTCAGGAGGTATAGTACCTTCTGTTATCTTACTAAATGCTTTAGCAACATCAGAAAGGCCAAACGGACACACCATGAAGTCATAAGGCAGTTTTAGTAGCGATGTCCTAGAATATTTATCCATGTTCATCTTTCCAAATTTAGGCTTGTTAAATATTCTCTTTGATAAATCTCTACTGATATCATACTTTCCATATATTAACGTGCTCAAGTCAGTTTTGATCCTCTACTATGTGGGTCTTTCAGTTATGTATTCTTAATATATTGCTGCCAAAATATTTTTTCATCTAGATTCTGTGGATCCATAATATGCGGTGCATTCGAGGTTTTGGAGATATATCCATACCCGGCTGCAGGGAGCGAACCAATAGCCGACAGCCAGCAGGGGAAGCCCCAAGGCCACCAGGAGCACCACCAGACATTTGATGGCGATGGCCTGTTCCCGGAGGCCGGACAGGTTCTCGTACCAGATCGTAAGCAGCTGCTGCTGGCAGTTAGGGTGAGCCACAAACTGCGGGAGGGGAGAAGAGGCACAGCTCAGCGTCACTCTCGGGGAAGTCAGGGGCATTTCACTCTTGAGTGGGTTCTTCTCAAGTTGTGCTGGGTAATTATGTTAACACTGTCCATCCAATCTAGGCAAACCCCTTATGAGCCACAAATATGATGGGATAATTCAATTAAAACACAGAGAGCCCTCACAGAAATTAAAGAAGCAGTTGCAGTTTAACTCAAGGGCTTCGCTGTCACTCTCCAAAGAGCTTTGGCCCCTAATATTAAAGTATCAGTATCTCTTAGTTTGCCACAACATCACTGTAAGCTGAGTTATTTCATATTCCATTCAGGTTCTCGACAGGCAACAAAGATCCAAGGAAGAACAAACAGAAGATCTCCTCGTGCACCTGGGGCTGCTATAACGCAGCGTCTGCCAGTAAATTCACCATAAGCGTAAGTTCGTGCCATTTCTGTGTCTGAGCAAAAGTACAGTGTCACCTGTGGAGAGAACAGAATCAACCCCCAAGTGTATACAGCAATTTGGACTCAACTAGTAGGTTAATTAATAAAACTCCTCTGGGCACTTGAGGTGTTATATTCATGGCTGTCCTACATAATTATTCATAATCTATGTAAGGCAAGCTGCAACTAAATTGAAAAAAAATGACCAGCTAATTAGGTCTACCGGTTGAGACCTGGGCAACACTCGTATTTTATCCAGGGGAATGAAACACTATGAACAAAGAGTAGTGACTCTGCTATTGTGGGTTCTATAAAGAAGCCGGCCGCAGTGCTTCAGGCAGAGCCAGGCATGGTGGCCCCTCTGTGAACAGCACCAGATTGCCGACATTGCATCGTCCATCAGATGGCGCATAATAGCCCAGGGAGAGTCTGATTGCTGCTACTGATCCTGCAACCGAGAAATCAATTCCCTCCGCTGTCCATTCAGACTAATGTGGGCTAATTACAGTGTCCCTCTCACCTTTGTCTGTGGAATGGATAGCTTAGCGTTAGCATTAGCTGTGTTAAGCTTTAATTGTATAAAACAGGAGGGCAGTAAAAATAGTCAATGGTTCACATACAGTATGTGTGTTATTGATGTTTAAAATGTTTTCAGTCATGTTTCCAAATTCAAATTAGACAGCAATAATTTATGTGATTCTCATAAGTTGTAAGAACAGTTCAGGCAAATTCGGGCAGTTTCTGGATGCTGTGAGCATCCAACATGTGAACTCAACTGATGAACTGAAGAGAGATGCATGGCAGTACTTTGGTTTGCATATAATGTGTATACCATTGTTTCTTTGTATACAGGGGACACCCATCATATATGGGGGCAGTGTGTGGCTCAGTGGAAGGTCACTGGTTCAAATCCCAGGGTCAGCAGATTGCTGTTGTGCCCCTGAGCAAGGCCCTTAACCCATACAGAGTTTATAGAGCTCCTCGTGGTAAAGCAAACATGTTTGGCACAGCAGTGCATTCAGACCGTGATTCAAGCTGCCGGACAAGACAAAAAAAATGTTGTTTGGTTAAAAGCATCTGCTAAATGTGAGAGTTTATCAGCCCCTGTGTGGGGCTTAGTGGTGCCTCCCAAGGACAAGCACACTCTGCCCCACCGTAGATGTAAGGACAAAACACATGTGACTCCAGTGAGTAGAACGCTCCCCCCCCCCAGCAGAATAATGTCGGTAACATTCTCCGACAATCTCCCCAGGGTTTGCTGTGGTGTTACTGGACTTTGAGGATTGAGGAGAGCGCTGCGGGGATCAGCATTGTTTGGAGGACGCCCACTGACCTTCTTGACCTCGTACTTGATGGCCAGCTTGACGCGGCTTAGCAAAGCTCGGTGCGTCTGCCCCTCCTCCAGCTCAGCGCTCACATCCCCGTTCAGGATGGCCTCCACCTCCTCTGTGTCCCGGCACAGGTCCAGCACCCCCACCACGAAGTCCTTGCACTGCATGGACAGCTTGCGGTAGTCGTTCTGGGACAGCGTGCAGGGGAGGGGAGCAAGATACCCAGACCTTGGAATTAATGGGTCCTTACAATCATTTCTGTCAGATATGGATTAGCGCTCTATTTCTAACTTTCTTTAACTGTATAATGTTAACATATTTTGTCAGAGTTCTTTCAAAGAGAACTTTATCCCCTACATCAGCACTAGCGCTTGACAGGCTTTGTAATGCCCAAAATTTATGAAAAATAGATGAAAATTGCATGAGAAACATTTAATAAGTACAAAGAGTAGCGTGAATCTACATGGGACTGGCTGGAGAGTGACAATGGGACACCGGGGGTGTTATTTTAACTGCTGAAAATTTTTCAGATATTATTTTGCCGGATATTGATATTGGTGTGGGGATGGCGTTCGATCTACACGCCCGAGTGAGCGAGCTCTTTGTGCCCGGTGACCCGAGGGCATCGCAATCTGTCTGACTCTGTCTCTAAGCCCCTAACATGATCACGAGGAGGTCCAGTTACTTTCCAGATCCTTGGCCGTTTTATTCGCGTGTTGCAGCGACACGTTGGGGAGGGAGGATTTCCAGGTACAGCTCAGGGTCAGAGCCAACAGCTTTTCACCAAAAAATGCACGATACTTAAACTTCAGACATGCTTGGAATATTTTCTGGAGAAAAAGCTCGTCGTCGATGGATTCCTGTCATGAATATGTCCTTTCTCCACTGACAATGCCAGCCAAAATGGGGTGTTTGAAATGGACCCTCACAACACAGAATGCATCTCACCCCCTCCCCTTCCTTTCCGCAACAAATCACCGCTCAACTTTCACCAAACCTTCCTCAAAGGCACAGTCTCATTTGGGTCAGGACTGAAGTGCCATTTGTCATATTTGTGCAAGTGACATTATTGGGGGGGGGGGGCAGTCTACTAGTTTTCTGATTTAAATACATACATCACAGAGGGGTTTCACCCCCCAAAAAATACAGGACCAGCTGCTAATACTGATAAGTATTATCACAGTTTTTCATTTACAGTGTGTGAATGTATTTGGGGGGGGGGGCATAATGTCCCATTCTGAAATAAACCACAGTCATCTCTGTTAAGGAGGCAGTGAGTTATTCTCTGTTATTACATAGCAATATGTTTAGTTTGTGCAAAATATCGGAGGATAGAAGCTTAATTTGGAAAAAAAAAATGTATACGATCCAGTTCTTGTCATCTTTGAGATTAATTATACACCAGCGTCACTGTGAAGCTGTTTAAAGCAGGAAGAAAAATGCACCAATTATAACAAGGTGGAAACCAGTGATGAGTAAATGCATAACTGATTTTTTTCATGGCGAGGATTGCAGTGTGAAATTTAAAGCGGTAGATAATCTGTATTTGAATACAGCCAAAGGTTGATGGTTCAAGTCTCAAATGGGACCACAATGTTTCATGAGTGAGACAGGGTGCTAGTATGGATCTCTGTAATATTCACATGCATAATGAGATGTCGCAAAACCTTAAAGCATTTAAATGACTGTGCAGAATCGTTTAATAAGCACAAAGGGATTTTTCAGGTGTGTAATCGGGGGTCTTACTGGGTAAGTCTGTGTATTACAGTGTCGTAGGAAGCTGGCAAGAAACATGGCGGACGTGCAGATGAAGAGCGGATCGGGCTTGGTGAGTGACTGACAGCTCCCTCTCTCCTCTCATAAAAAGCACACCCATTATCACCATCTCTGCGCCCTACAGAAAAGCCGCGTTAAGCACCTGCCCGCCCCCACGCTAACGACAAAGTTATGTTTCTAATTAAAAGCCTCTGACAGCTAAAGAATGGAGCGCGACAGCAGCAGGACGCGAAGGCCATCAGCGGGAACCCGTGTCTGTCCCAAAACAAGCAGTTGGAGCAGGAATCTATATCAGGAAGCCACTTTACCAGCCCATTTCAAGAAGTCAAATCCATGACTGATTTATTGACTCCATCTTCGGAGGCACAGACACTTTCAAACTCAATTGATAGAGGCTTTTAAAGCATTTGAAGCCATTTTAAGCCATCCTGTAGGCATACTCATTAGCCACCACAATGCTAGCAACAAAAGTGTCCTTAAACATTATTACTAATAAGCTCAGTGGACAGAGGTTTTGCAGACTTTTTTTTTTGGTGACATGTTGTGTTTAGGTTTTGAATATTATGGGATGTACTTGTATTGATGGTTTCTTCTTAGCAAAGATCTGTACTGGTGCTACCATAGAATACTATATGGATTGTGCTGTCAGTGTGAAGCACGCTATACAATCAGTGTGAGGTACGCTATACAGTGTGAGGTACGCAATACAATCACGAACACAGTATGTCTGCCTCCCTCATGGAACCTCGATCTTTACACCTCACACCTCCTGCGTCCTAAAATCCAACAAATGACTAACCACAGACAGCCTCTCCCCATTTACCTCATTACTAAACTCCCACTGGTTACCTTACAAACATTCTACTGCACCGCAAAATCATTGGCTGTTTTTTTTCCAGCAAGTAAAAACACAAAGAGGATTTTTGATGAAGAACCAGGGAGAGGATGTTCCACTATGCCAGACATTAAAAATAAGCGGCAAAGGCAATCAGAAATTAGACAGATGCCCCTACTACATGCCCAAAAATGTGATCTATCTAATTTCCAGAGGTGCTGATGGAAACTGCCCGCTTTAAAAACTGATTATAGATGGATGATGATTCATGAAAAAGGAAAATTAAAACCTGGACACTGACAATGCAGTGCTGAGGCCGCGTGGAAAATAGAAACGTGAAATCGCATATCTCCATCATAAATCTGACCTTCAAGCTGTAACTGGAAATTCAGACCCTCTGCTGGACTCCGAAACCTGCCAGATGTCCAAAATGATGCTATGCACCCATAGCAATGTATCAGCCAATACAAAGCTAGACCTTCTTAATGCTAATGAAGTTATGAAGTTAAGGATATTTACCAGGGAGGAGCAATTGTTCTGCATCGTCTCTTTTATTTGGCTCTTTTTAACCTGGTGGTGACATCAATATACACAAACCCACACACATATACACAGAAACACAATGCACGGATGACATAAAGCAATAGTTAGTTTAAAAAGCGTGCCGAACATAAAGGAAATCACAGAGCTCAGATCAGATGCAATGCTATCCATGCTCATGTCAGTGCTCGCTACATCCAGTTAGCTGTACCTCATTTAAAAAAATTTCTACTTCTGATTTAGAAAGAAGTTATGGTGTCAAATGGAATATGTGACTAGTGGTTGAGTTGTAGCGGTATGTGTTAGTCTAGCGAGTCTTTGGGGATAAATGGATTCAACATCTTACTTTGAACTCCTTTTCGATGTTGGCAAGCTTGGCCAGCTCGTTGCTGAGCTCCAGGGCAGTCAGGACGGGATCCTCGCTGGCTAAGGAGAGGTAGGCGGGGCTGGCCAGCCCGCGGTAGGCGTTGATACGGGAACGAGAGTGGCTGAACGAGTCCTTGCGCTGCTTCTCGGCGCACTCGGCGCACTTGCAGAAGTAGTCGTGCGGCCGCTCGATGCGAGCCCCCTTGGTCAGCAGCATGTGCACCACCTCGTACTTCTGGCAGTGGGCGGCCAGGATGATGGGCGTGATGTCGGGCGAGAAGCGTGTGCCGTCCTCGTCGTACGAGTAGAAGTCGTCGTCCTGGAGCTCCCGGGGGCTCCGGGTGAGCCGGTCCCCGGCGGCGAAGGACGGGTGGTTGAGGATGGCCTCTACGATCCTGACGTAGCCCTTGCTGATGGCCAGCAGCAGAGCGTCGCCGATGCGGGCCAGGTTATCCCGTTTGAGCAGCAGCTCAGTCACCTCCAGGTGCTCGTTGCCCACGGCCAGCTGCAGCGCACTCTGGCCCATGTAGTCCACACAGTTGACGTTGAGCGTCTCCGACTCATCCAGCATCCGCCGCACCACGGGGATGTTGCCGTACTCGGCGGCATCCAGGAAGCGCTCCTCTTCGGCTGTCAGGCTGGTACTACGGTTGTTGAACATGAAGGCAGGCCCCCGCACCGCTTGCCGCCGACCCTTCTCCCGCGACGCCGCCAGCCGCCACTGCGCCGGGTTCTCCAGCGGCGACCTGGGAGAGCCGGGGGGAGAGGCTTCAGTGACCACGCAAACGTGCTCCATTACGCGGTGGAGGACAGGCCTGGCTGCAATGGAGTGCCGATCTCTCTGCCCCAAAGACTTCCCATGCTACTGAACGGTCTTCTTGCCTCACCCAGATCTTTGTAACTAACACTGCTGGGCCGAGGCCAGCATTTCTGACGTACGCGCTAAGGCACCGTCTCGGATAATTACGGCTTCGGCTAGTCGAGTCCACAGGTCCCGTGGAGCCCGTTGACTTGCGGCCTCCCTCACACGGCTACCTGCGGAAGCTGTAAACTCCCACCGATTTTTAATTACTTTGTAATGAAACGCCACAGATGATATCCCTCGATAAGGGTGTTACTAATGTCTGCGGCCACATGGAAACGGTACCAAGCCCTGCTACGGTACCACGGCTGCACAGTCGCATGTGACCGCGTGTGTTCAGGTCGGCCAAGGTACGAGGGTGAAGTACCCTTCGGTGCTCTTCCTGTGTAATTAAAATCCACCTCTTGACGTCACATAATTCCTCAGTTTCCATCTCTTATTAATCACGGGTGAAAATCCCAAATCCCAACGTGTACTTCAATATTCCCGGCATTCCTCCTTAATGAATAATAAAGCTGTTTCGCACATAATTACACTAAATTACATTGTGGTGGTACAATCCCAATTATTAATAAAGCATATTGATAATATGGTCTTGCAAAAGTTTTTATTCAGTTTTTTAGTAATAAGTCCATCTGTCTTCCAGTCGCATATCTTGGTCAGGGTTACAGGGAGAGCCTGGAGCTCACATATACTCTGGATGGGATGCCAGTCCCTCACTGGGCACACATACATGCACACGCATAACACAAGGAAAACATGCACACTCCTTACAAACAGAGCCTGGAGGTGTGAAGCAGTGCTTATGAATTCAAATTAATATAAAATATTACAACCCTAAATCTATATCTGTTTACAGAGCTGTCAAAACAGATTTCTGATTTTATGCCTGCTAACTAATTTGAGTCATCATTTGGGATTCCTTTGCTTTGTTTAGCTTTTTATAATTATTCATATGTGGTGGGTTTCAGAGCTATACGCCTACTTTCCGGGAATTGTTATGCAGTTTCAAACGCCCCATATATAATCGTCTCTCACTTTTTATGACCTTTAACTTCCATTTATAGCAACACACCTTAAACACACAATACACTGTAAACAGTTTAAATAAATGAGCATGTATATTAACCTGACATTGAACTACACGGTGTTAAAAATCCTTTGTCAAGCACCCATTATAACACATGCTAATCAGCACTGCTCAGTTATGAACTATGCGATTCATTAGCCAATCACGCGCAGCCTAGGATTAACTCCGAACCCCTGCATATCACACGGCTTAACAGCAAGTCTGCACCACACATACTGATGTCAATGTCCCATTATGATGTCTTTAAGCTAACCACTTATAGCTAAGCATCGTTGAATTCTTTGAACCCTGGACTGGAATGTGAATATTCTTCTCTCCCCCCCCCATCACACCTGAATTGTATTCACTCAGGCCTGGAATATTTCTGAATTTTTAAAATATTGAGTATTTTTTACTCCAGGATTTTTATTTTTCATTTCTGGCCTACAGATACAGAAGCCCACTTATAATTCTCTGGGTACACCAGTCCAACCTTTTCTAAACCGCACATTATTCATCAGATATTTGCCCCGGAATACATAATTTTACATATGTGTCCAACTATATACTTGAACAGTACCTAGCCCACCATTATCTCTGAACAAAGTTTCTTTAATATTAATTTTAAATAAAGGCATTTCACTACACACATGTACAGTGTATGTTTGTTTATGTCACAAATAAAGCTTTGAATCACATGCTAATCGCACGTAGCCCAGCACTTGTTCCACTTTTATTATTCGGGTGCATCAAGGCGATGTCATTGGCCAAGTAGAAGGCATTCCTCTATAATGTCTTTGCAGCAGCTCTAGAACAAATGAATCAAAAATACAGGACAGACATCTATACAATTCAAAGGCTACGACCATCTATCCTTAGCAGTAACGCAGAACCATACAAGCATCACACACAACCAGCTGTGATCCCAATACCTAAATTTGCAAAGCTAACTGTTAAGCTATCCCTGCAGACCACTCACGGTAATTGGGAACCAATCAGCATCAGGCGTATTTGTCATATGTGTGTGAAACATAAGTGCCCTTTGCAGCCATTGGCAGGAAAAATCCAGCTAAGACTTGGTTCTTCTTGATTCACATGAAATTACAATCATGCGTTGCTGAACGATGAGGCTGTGTTCTGAGAAATGTGTTATTAGGCGATTTTTTTGTTATGTGAACATCATAGGGCATTCTGACACAAACCTAGATGTATAGCCTTGTAGACACCTGGTATAGCCTACAAAATGATAAAAGTACACTATAGTAAATACATCAACTAGTATCATCATTTTTTATTACCATTATCAAGTATTATAGTATAGTAGAGTAGTACATAATTGTTGCTGTTCTTTTATACAACTGGCAGCACGGTAGGTTCATTTACACCAGCATCACCACAAACACCTGAGTAATGCATTGCCCTGTGGTTATTTCAGCTTTGTTATAATCTTACAGGACCATGTATGCAGCCCGTCGCTGACCAGAACGTCATTACGCGTCATTACACTACGATGTAGGTGGATTAGCTTCTAAAGCCTTAGGAGCTGCTGCTGATTCCTCCCCAGAAAAGCACAGGATTTGTGTGCTAATGATTCCTTTTTGCAGATGATCTTTACTCCCGTACAAATTACATGTATCCAACTTGAATACCAGCTAAAACCTTCCATTTAGCTTTACTGAAGGAATCACTCACATACAACTATGACGTATCTCTCAATGAAAAAGTTTAGGACTTTCACTGATTTGCAAACCACTTGGCTATTTGTCACCTGTCTCAGGGGTGAACGGGAGGGTCTTCTAGAGACGACAAAAGTTCGTACACAATAAGATCAAGTATACAGAGGTCTTTATACAGTATAAAGTTCAATTAATATGCATGAAACGTCAGTACTACAAAATCAACAACAGCATTGAAAAAAGAACAACACCAAGTTCAGACATTGATGTTAGAAAACCTTTGACTTTTCTCCACGCTCCATAGCTGACAGCCAGTGCTTAAAAGCCAGTGCGATTACCTCAGTTCTTTCCTCAGTTCAGCCGGTAGAACAATTTATACATTTCTAATAATAAAGTCTCCCTTAGGCACTAGGAAACGGGACAGTGGAAATGGCAGCCGTATATGCTGAGATTGGAAGGGATCGACTCCGCTGGAGAGTTTGCTTTTCAGGATATCAGCACATCTTTGAGAAGTTCATCTGCCACGTCTTCGCAGAAATCTCTGGCACTAAGTTAAGCAACAAGCTTTAGTCAGCGTAAGCTGGTGATGTTAGACAGCTGGAAAACCGAAATGTTATCAGTCATAATCAGTGTGACAATCTATAACTACAACCCGGATAAGCAAAACAGAAAACTGAAGGGTGAACACAAGACAAAATATATAAAATATACATACTATCTTTTCATGCTGATTACTAATTTAGATAGACCCGAGTAAGAGAGGAACAGAATTTAAAATGCTACTGTTTTGTGCTTCCATTTATTTTTTTAACTAGTACCATACCTGCAAGGACATTTCCCAGATCTTTTAATATTTAAAGAAGTACTGGAATAAGGAGTTGGATTTTTTTTTTCTTCTGCACAATAATATATTTTTTCGGAGGACTGGAGAATATCTTAGGTTTAGGGCTTGGCAGTCATGTTATGTTATAATAATATACAGGTAACTATAATTAATTGGATTTCAAGAAGAACAGGAGAAAACATGAGTTTGATGTGCATGGAATTGTGGGTAAAATGAACAGTCCAATCAGGTGGCATTAGATCATCTGAAAAACAGACCAGCTCCCCATCCAGTGTGTTTTGCTGAATCTCAAGTCATTCGATTCTGTGGCACAAATGAGGGGCTGGATATAAACGTAACTAAATGTCTTTGCACAGTGGTGTTGGAACTGTTAATGATTCTCTGGTTGCCTTCTCCGTGATCCTTAAAATCTCCCTTTTTTAATCTATTTTTGGTTAATGAGACTTACTGCTGTTTTCCCATAAGGCTGTGGAGATACGGAGGAAAGGGCATTTTGTGACCTGACTTTCTACAGAGGAAGGATTGGGAGTGAAAACACCCCCTGGGCCTTTGACTTATAATCTGTACAAAACGATAAATCGTAAATACATTGCCAGATCGTCAGATATTGTCAGTGAGTTTGGTATGCCCTGCATTTTTCAGTAGGAAGATGTGGAATTCTTTGAATAAGTGAAGGCCGTGCGTACTGGCTGGTGATAGGGATTTGTGTGTGTGTGCGTGCGTGCGTGTGTGTGTGTGTGCGTGCGTGCGTGTGTGTGTGTGTGTGTGTATTTGTCTGTCTGTGTGTTTGCGTGTGTGTGTATGTTGTAGGAGTGTGTGTTACTGTTCGCATGCCAGGGGTTGGGTTTTGTGGGTAGGATCTGACTGAGCCAGAATAGTTAGGTTACATCTATGCCCAATCGTTTCTAAATCTTAGCATTTAGACTCCAGAGGAAGGATGGAGATAATGCACAGACATGTCAAACGTGTCATGATGCGAACCCCGGATAAAATCCTAACTTATCTGTTTTCCGAAATCGGCATCACGTTTGTTACATCCCGCGATTTTAAAGCATGACGACCACTGCATGCGTATTAGTTCTGTTCTAATTTTTAAATATTAGCATCAATTAACCTGATAATCAACCTGTGTGTAACCTTGTACGTGTGATGCTACTGTTGTACATTTAAGTGAAATGAGTTCCCAGACAACAGGTTATTTTATTCTATCACAATGAAATAATTAAACATCTCCCACATCATACCCTAATAATAGTATGCATATTAACAATTAACTCGTTTCCAATTTGATAGGAAGGAAATAGGCGCTCGTCTAAATATTAGGGCGTTTGCGCCTTAATAACTAAACGAATTAATCTTAAGTGCTAAAACTGTTTTTAAAAGAGTGCTGATTAAGTAGAGTCAATAAACAGTTAACAAAAATGCAACGACAATGCATGATCTATCATGCAGTGCCCAACAGTAATTAAACAGCGTAATCCGCCCAGTGGCGCTAAAAGCAAGGCAAATGATCACTGCCAACATTAATCCAAAATGTATTTCAATTACTCAAGTAAAACGTGTGTATTTTAGTTTGTTTTTCAGCTTCATTATGCAACGGCATAACAGACTGTCTATTTAGATAAATTCGTTAACAAGTCAGTCTTCGGAGCATCATGCAAGTTTACTGCAGAAGAAACTGCGAAATTTAAAGAAAATATTTTTTTATCTGTAACAGAAACCGAAAATATGTACAAATGTTCATAATTTAATATAGCACAGTTACTTAATTTTTTTCGTCGTAAAAAATGAGTTCCTATATTTTGTCAAACTGTTTTTTTCCTGTTATTACTACATACTCACATATTGTGATGATGATAATATCCAGATGCATCTCGGACCGTTTTCACGGATTTTAAGTAACGCGCATCCACGCCGCCGTTTTCTTCTTTACACTCATTTTCCTCCTCGGAGAATGACACGCGTTTCTGGTACTTTCTCGCCTTCGTGGACATACAGACAGCCTCCGATTCCTTGCTCCAATATGCTGTGATTCCTTCAGCTTTCTGTGCGCCCCCGGCAAGCGGCTGGACGTGCTATTTCCCCCCGCGAAGCGCGGCGTCTCCCCGCCACCGATGGGTGCCGTTCAGTTTGCAGAAGTGAACTGCAGGGGGATACGGTGTCCAGACCGACAGGCACGGGACTTCGTAGTTCACATCATCATCATCATCATCATCATCATCATCCACCGAGAGATACGGCTACCTGAAGACCCGCGTTTTCAGACACATGGGGGCTACATGTGAGCGCGAAGTGACCTTCATTCACGTATCTGCTTCCTTTCCACTATATTTACAGAATTCATGGTAAAGTGATAAATGTCCTTATACCTCTGGCCTGGAGCTAGGTGTTCCATATAGATTCTTTAAAAATGTGATTAATGCCTGCAAATTTGAACACTTTGAACACAGTATAGCTTATAGATCATTTATTCATGCCATAAATGGAAGTCTAAGGTTGGGAATGAAAGTAACAGTGTGGACACTGTGTACTTGAAAAGCTTATACAGTATGTTTCCAGGACAGTAGTACGACCTACACCACACAGCTGAAAACATGTACTATTGGATCAGTGTTCTTGTGGTCAGTCAGCCCATGACTCCATATCTGTGTGGTCTGTCCTAATAAAAGATGCATTTTCTGGAGTTAATAGCAGGAGAACTGCTGATGTTGCCTGGGGCTGTCTTGCATCCTCAAATTATGTACGATAGATAAAACATTTAGGCCTACTTGAGTAAAGATGCTTGCTCAGAAAATTAATATTGTTCTGGATCTTTCAGATAACTGGGCCAGCATCCCCAAGTCTTTTCAATCTGCACCATTCATACCTGGAGAGATTATTCAAAAACAGTTGTTTTCAAGCACATAATCTGGAGCAGAAGGAGGGGAACCTGATGGTTCTGATCCCAAGCATTGCTCTACTATTATTCCCAATGTTGAATAAATGTTTGCCTAACATATCTAGTGATATATCATTGACATTATGTGGACTGTCATGATGTTCAGATGCCTTTTGGTTCCAGGTACATTCTCTGCTCCAGAAGGCAAATGCAGAATTGATAGATCCTGGACTGGGCGATGCTGTAGATGCCAGAGATGGCTTTGCCAGGCAAGTTCACTTTCGTGGGAGGTGCCACGTTGGCTAAGGTGCCACATTGGCTAGAACCAGCCCTGGATAGACTGGTTTTAACTCTGCTAGTGAGCCCAACAGGAAGAACCTGGATCATATTATACCTGCTTGTCCTATGTTTAACATGCTTGTCTTGTCTTCTCCTTGGATGAGTGGTCAAGGATGTGACCTAATGACCTCAGATAGCCGGAGGTCTAATTGCCAGAAGATGCATGATCCCTGTTGTTTCTGCAGCTGCATTATGCCTGAGTTGCTTCAATTTGTATCAACTTCTAGAAGACAATTGCACCTTTTTCATGAGTAGATGGTAGAGATTGTGATGCTTGTGCAGTATCCGGTACGGAGGTCAGAGGTCAGGGATCACGCTCATAAATCCTTGATATGAAGTCTCTGGTGTTCCATGAGTCATCTAGGAGTAGGGATCCTATTAAAGAGTCTCTATCAGATCAAAATCAACCACTGAAACTAGACGTTAACTTTTCCTTGATGAAGACATTCAAACGACACTATAGAGTGTCAGATAATTATGAACACACACCTTTTCCGACTAAGCATGGGCATGATGCAAGTTCAGTTTGCCAAAGAAAATGTTCACCCTCTGCTTCCACATTGTTAACATGACATCATGTTCCAGGAGTCAGCTGATTAGCTGTCCTTTGACAACTGAAAGACCTGAGTCCATTCCCGGCAATCAATCTATCAGAATCACTACATTAATGTTCTTTGATAGGAATGTTGCAGCAGTTGCCGTGACGGAAGCTGCCGGAAGAAAGCCGGCAAATTTTATGCCGCATGTCCATCCGACACACTGGCAGTGGTCGATGGGGATATGCTGGGGGCCTTTTCATCAGAGACGGCATGGAGTGATAGACAGATCCATTACGATGCAGTGGATTAGCGGGGAGCCGCCGAGTGTCTGGGCTCAGGACAGGATAAGGAATGGGCAGCTGAGCAGATGGCGGAACAGACTGATAGCCCCCTCTGTGCAAAGATGAATGAGCAATCGACGACATCCCACAGGAAGACGGAGCACCAGGACAGCCTAGGAAAAACCAACACATTGCTGTGGAGGATTTGCCGGCTTAACCTCTGACCTTCAGTTTTATTATTGAGTACAAAAGGAATTGTTCCATTTATGTAATAAAAAGAGACTTCCGTTGCTGTGGGATTGTCTTGAAGGTGAATTGTACCTCAATGTGTTTGTTTAGCACTGTGAATGTGGGTGGGGAATATAATGCATGTTTACATGTTCTCCCCATGTTTCCCCATGATTTCCCATGTTCTCCCCATGTTTCCCTGTGATTTCCCATGTTCTCCCCATGTTTTCTCATGTTCTTTCGTTTCCCCGTATTCTCCCCATGTTTCCCTGAGATTTCCCATAGTCATAATATTCTGGGTACTGGGTACCAAAGACATGCAGTTAGGCAAACTGGCATCTCTACATTTCTGACAGTCAAGTTTCACTCAAAAGGCAGGGCACAGCTACTGAAAATCATTTGTTTTTGAGAACTTAAAAACCCTAAGCAAATCTCCAAGATTCAAGAGGTTTATTCGTCACGTACACGGTTGTACACATACGACGTAGAGAAATGTGACCCTGGTCACTCCAAGCAGCTGTGCATGATAAGAGAATAGGAATACTCTAGGTAATGGAGTAAGTATTATCTTGTGAACAAGGAAAAAGACAGAGTGCTGTGACAGATGGACTAAACCCTGCAGTTCGGATCGAAGATTATGGGCAGGGTAGCCAACTTGTGCCCTGAAATTGGGGAAACTCCTTCAGGACTGTTGGAGAAGCATTCCAGGTGGCTACATCCGGAAGCTGGCTGAAAGAATGACAAGAGTCTGCCATGCTGTCATCAAAGCAGAAGGGGGCTATTTTGAAGAGTCTAAAATTTGAGAAAATTTTGGCTGTTACAATATTTGATATGTATGGCTTCAGTGCCTTGAGACCTTTTGCTATAAGGGGAATAACAAGTAAAATAGAGACAAATGCATCAATAACAGGTGTGTACAGACTTTGGGCTGCTACTGTATATCAGTGTGTGCCCTGTGGTGAACCAGCATCCCAATCAGGCTTCTCTCCAACGTCGTGCCTTGTGCCGCCAGGGACTCCCTGTGCCCTTGTCCTGCAGACATAGCTGGAAGATTTATGCTTCATGAAGGTGTTTTACAGCTGGACTGTGAGCCACATTCTTATCCTAAGCCTTTAGCATACAGACAAGCCTAGACATACCCTATTGCATGAACACATTTGCCATACGGATGTAAATACTCAACGTCACATGCTGAAACATTTCAGCTGATGAGGAATTTTGAGAATACCAGTTACAAATATCTCCTTAAAATCTGGTTTCGCCTCTGGTGGCCTTTTTTTGCACTTTATTTTATTTTATCTTACCTTATTTTACCTTATGCTATTTCTTTTTGCCAATATACTTTTGCTCTCATGTTTACAAATCAATTCAAATGGGAACTAAATGAATCAAACATTCAACTGAATGAACAATCTTAACGTCGAGTGGATCTAACACAGCATGTGCCTTTATGGATGCCATTGTTATTGATTTTGTGAACATATTGATCATCTATTTGTTGAATGTGTAAACAGCTGGGTGGCATAGAGGCTCTCGATGTCGATCCCCAGCTGTGTGTGGAGATCACACGTTTCCCTCCATGTTTATTTGGGTTTCTTTCCACCCCTGAATGGTGTAATTTAGGTAAAATTAGGACTCAGATTCGCCCATAGCGTGTGACTCTGTATGATTGTGCGTACCCTGTCATGAACTGACATAGCGTTCTGAGTCTTTCTCTTTTGCTGTGACCCTGTATATGTAAACAAGAAATTCCAAGTTCTAATCGCACAGCAAGCAGGTCTACTGATTCACAACAAGGAGTGACCAGTTCCAAGACATCCTCCAAGACCAAAACCTAACCCCAGTGTGAAAACCAAAGGCAACGCACATGCAAAGTCCAAATCGCATTCAGCAAAAATCAGATTGGACTTCTGAATCCAGTAGAACTCAATCGTAAGCATAACAAGTCACCGGTTCCACAATGAAGAGGCTCATCTCTACCAAATAAGTTACAAATGATACATTTTTCTGGTTGTTAACGTTGGTTGTAATTGAATCCTGGTCATTACAGAACATGACACAGCATTGATACATATTGCATATCAATTCTGTGGTTTCTTTGGTCATGTTCTGTAGCTTAGCACTATGAAACATGTGCCAGGTGTACGTGTTTAGATCAGAAGTGGGGGTATGAGGGCATGCGCCTCATTTTAAAATGAAGAGGGACCATTTCCACTTCAAATAATCTTTCTGCGGGTGCTTTTTGAAGTTACCATTGCATATAATTCCGTTCCACCCTATTATGAGTGAGTTTATAGGGTGTGTTCAGATAGGAGATTCAACTGCTTTTCATGGGAGTGTGTGAGCCTTTCTATTCCACTTTTAAAAACATGTCCCATACAAGATAATTCAGGATAACTCCATATTGTAACAATAAGCATAGCAAGACCTAGCAGGGGCCAGGATTCTCAACCTGAAATGTCAAACTGTAAAAACATACTAAACTGCATGCTAGTTATTTTGGACAAAATCACAGAACTTGAAAGACATATTTAGGTACTTATTTTATCAGTTATGGTAACTGTTTCAGTTAAAATTGGCAATAAAGTCTTTAAAAAGATAAGGGCATTTTAGTCAATTCCCGTTTGTAAATATTTATCAGTTAGGCACGGAGGCCTCAGTGATTAGCAGTGTTTCCTCATATGTGTTTCCTTATGTGTTGGGGTTCAAATCCCTGCTCTGAAGGTGTGCAGTTTACATTTTTCCCCATGGTGCTTGAGTCTTCTCCTACTGTCCAAAAAGATGATGGTAGGTCTCTACATTTCCCACAGTGCGTGCACTCCGAGAGGGCCGGACATCCCTGCCAGGGTATCGGTAGGTCTCTACATCTCCCGCGGTGCGTGTACTCCGAGAGGGCCGGACATCCCTGCCAGGGTATCGGTAGGTCTCTACATCTCCCGCGGTGCGTGTACTCCGAGAGGGCCGGACATCCCTGCCAGGGTATCGGTAGGTCTCTACATCTCCCGCGGTGCGTGTACTCCGAGAGGGCTGGACATCCCTGCCAGGGTATTGTTGTGCCCTGTGCTTCTAGGAATTGCCTTTAGGTTCATCATAACCCTGAATGGTAAATTGGTTAGAAGATGGATGCATGTGGTAGACGGGAGATTACTAATCATGTCTATGCTCATGTCACACATGGACTGGAGTGTCCATCAGCCCGTGCCTTTGGCTAGAAATGGCCATAG